GGGGGGGGGGGTCAACCCAGCACCCAAAGGTGGCCCCAAAAGATTTGGGGTGGCCACAGACCCGCAGCTGATGGCCCCACAGATTTGGCCACCCAAAATTGGGGCAAGGAAACCAAATCATGGATCTGAAGGATGTGGGGTGGCCAAATTCAGCATCTTCAGGGATGTGGGGCAACCAAAGCATCGTCCTCAGCGATGTGGGGTGGCCAAATCAGGGATGTGGGGTGGCCAAATTCAGTGCCCTCGGGGATGTGGGGTGGCCAAACCATTATCCTGAGGGATGCGGGGCGGCCATAGCCAGCGCCTGAAGGCAACGCTGACCCCATGGCCAAAGCCAACGTCCAACACTGACCCATGGACTTCTGGGTGGCCAAACTGATGGTCCTGATGGATGTGGGGTAGCCAAAATCATCATCCAACGTCCTGATGGCCAAAGCCGACGTCCAACATTGACCCAAGGGGTTCTGGGTGGCCAAACTCAACATCTGATGGCACCCTGTGGGATTTGGGGTGGCCAAACCCAACGTCCTGATGGATGTGGGGCAGCCAAAGTCATCATCCAACGTCCTGATGGCCAAAGCTGACGTCCAACGTTGACCCATGGACTTCTGGGTGGCCAAACTCATGGCCCTGATGGATGTGGGGCAGCCAAAATCGTCATCCAACGTCCTGATGGCCAAAGCCGACCTCCAACATTGACCCACAGGATTCTGGGTGGCCAAACTCATGGTCCTGATGGATGTGGGGCAGCCAAAATCGTCATCCAACGTCCTGATGGCCAAAGCCGACGTCCAACGTTGACCCAAGGGGTTCTGGGTGGCCAAACTCAACATCTGATGGCACCCCGTGGGATTTGGGGTGGCCAAACTCAATGGCAAAAGGCAACACCAACATCTTGATGGCCAAACCCACGGTCCGAGGTTGACCTGCAGCGTTCTGGGCAAGAAAACCCATCGTAGGGCAACCAAAACCACGGCCTGAAGACAACGCTGACATCCTGATGGCCAAAGCCAGCGTCCAATGCTGACCCAATGTGTTCCAGGTGGCCAAATTCAACATCTGAGGACACCCTGAGGGATTCGTGGTGGCCAAAGTCATCATCCAAAAACAAAGCCGACGTTCTGATGGCCAACGCCAACATCCAACGTTGACCCACGGCGTTCTGGGTGGCCAAACTCAACATCTGCTGGCACCCCAAGGAATTTGGGGTGGCCAAACTCAACGTCCTGATGATTTTGTGGTAGTCAAAATCATCGTCCAAAGACAACATCAACGCCCTGATGGCCAAACCCAACAGCTGACATTGATCCATGACGTTCTGGGCAACCAAACCTAAAGTCTTGAGGGATTTGGGGCAACCAAACCCAAAGTCCTGAAGGATTTGGGGCAACCATAGCCGTTGTCCTGAATTTGGGGTGGCCAAATTCATCATCTGAAGACAACACCGATGTTCTGATGGTCAAAGCCAACGTCCAACACTGACCCATGGCCTTCTGGGTGGTGAAACTCAACATTTCAGGGCACTCTGAGGGATTTGGGGCAGCCAAACCCAACGCTGACGTTCTCACGACCGAACCCCATCATCCAAAGCTGAAGTTTTTTGTCATTTTGGGTGGCCAAACCCAACGCCCGGTGCTGAATTTTGCCATTCTGCTCCGCCAAACCCATCGCCCAAAGTCGAATCTCACCGTTTTGATTGGCCAAACCCAACGCCCAGCACCGAATGCCGCCATTCTGGGTAACCAAACTCACCGTCCAAACTTGAAGTTTGCTATTTTGGGTGACCAAATCCAACACTCAACGCCGAATGTCAACATTTTGGGTGACCAAACCCAACACCCAATGCTGAATGTCGCCGTTTTCAGTGGCCAAACCCAACATCCAATACCAAATTTTGCCATTCTGGGCAGCCAAATCCAACACCGAACGCCGAAGGCTGCCATTTTGGGTGGCCAATCCCAACGTCTAACGCCAAATTTTGCCATTCTGGGTGGCCAAGCTCAACATCTGACAAGAGCCTGAGGGATTTGTTATGGCCAAACCCAACGTCTGAAGACAACACCGATGTTCTCATGACCGAATCCACCGTGCAAAGTTGAAGCTCGCTGTTCTGGATGGCCAAAGCCAACGATGAATGCCGAAGGCTGCCATTTTGGGTGGCCAAATCCATTGTCTGATGTTGAACCTCGCTCCTCTAGTCGGCCAAACACAAAGCCAATGCCAAACGTCGTCGTTCTGGTTGGCCAATCCCACCATCCAAAGTCGAATCTCACCGTTCTTGTTGGCCAAATCCAACGCCCAGCACCGAATGTCATCATTTTGGGTGGCAAAACTCAACATCTGCCAACAGCCTGAGGAATTCTTTATGGCCAAACCCATCGTCCCGAGGTATTTGGGATGGCCAAACCCAACGTCTGAAGACAACACTGCTGTTCTCACGACTGAATTCATCGTCCGAAGTTGAATCTCACCATTTTGGGTGGCCAAACCAAACATCCAACGCCAAATTTTGCCATTCTGTTTGGCCAAACCCACTGTCCAAAGTTGAACCTCACTGTTCTGGTTGGCCAAATCCAATTCCCAACACCAAATGTCACCATTTTGGGTGGCCAAACCCAACATCCAACACTGAGTGTCGCCATTCTGGTTGGCCAAACCCATCGCCCAAAGTCGAACCTCACTGGTCTGCTTGGCCAATCCCACGGCTGAACGCTGAACATCGCTGTTTTGGGTGGCCAAACTCACAGTCCAAACGTGAAGCTTGCCATTCTGGGTGGCCAAACCCAAAGCCCAACGCCGAATGTTGCCATTCTGGGTGCCCAAACCCAACGTCCAAAGTCAACGTGGATGTTCTCATGACCGAACTCATCATCCAAAGTTGAACCTCGCCGTTCTGGGTGGCCAAACCCAACGCCCAACGCCGAATGTCACCATTTTGGGAGGCCAAACGCACTGTACAAACTTGAAGCTTGCCGTTCTGGTTGGCCAAACTCATCATCCAAAGTCAAACCTCACCGTTCTGGTTGGCCAAACCCAACGCCCAACACCAAACCTCGCCGTTTTGGGGCGACGAAACTCGGGGCCAACAAACCCCAAGGGGATTTTTTATGGTCCAACCACGCCGGCCAACAACCCCACCTTAAAGGCAGAACCTCAGCATTGGCAACAGTGTCCAAAACACGACCACGGGCGCCCGGGGCTCGGCGTCACCCCCTCATCCGGCGCCCGGAGCCGCGCTCAGCGCACCGGCACGTTGATTTCGGCCCCGCTGGCCTCCTGCACGTTTTCAGCCGTGGTTTTTCCGTGCTGCTCCTTCAGATGCCTGCGGATGGCGGGTTTGTGAGCGAAGCGCACGTCGCAGTAGGAGCAGCGGTACGGCCTCTCCCCGCTGTGCAGGTTCATGTGGTCGTGCAGGGTGGATTTTTGGGTGAAGCTCTTCCCGCAGACGCCGCAGCCGTGCGATTTGACGCCGCGGTGGACGTTCATGTGCCGGTTCAGGTTGCTGCTGTGGTTGAACTGCTTGCCGCAGCGCGGGCACATGAAGACGAAGTGTTGGGCTCTCATGTGGAACACCAATTTCTCCACCCCTTGGAAACCTTCCCCACATTTCCCGCAGCGCGCCGGGGCGCACGACGCCGATGACGCCGGCGCCGGGACGGCAACCGACCACGAGGACGGCCCCGGCGTGGCACCGCCATCATCCCCACCTCCTCCTCCTCCTCCTGGCCCGGGGAAGATGAGCACCCCTTCTCCTTCAGCATCTTCTGCCAGGCTGTACCTGGCTTTCACCACGCCGAGCGGAGGCAACCGCGGCGCTTCCTCCACCGCCGCCGCCGTCCCCGCCGTCACCACCGCCATCGTTGCCTCCCGGCGCCGGCGCCGCGCCGAGCCCGGCTCCACTTTCACAATGCAGACGTCGGGTGCCGCTTCTTCCTCCTCTTCTTCATCTTCGTCGTCTTCCTCTTGCTTGGGGGCCGGCGGGGGCTCCGGGGGGGGTTGGATGAATCGTGCCAGAGCCCCTCGGCAGCGCTCCACCACGTGCTCCATCTGCAGGTAGCTGGCAGCCGTCAGATAATTGACCAAATCTCGCCCGGCGAACTCCAAGGCTCCGGTGTAACAGGAGAGGAGGAGGTCGGCCAAAACGCGGGCGCTGTGAGCCAGGGAGACGCGCAGCTCGGCCGCCGGGTTGAGCAGGAATTGATCCCGGAGGAAAGGAGAGCAGGCGGCCAGGATGACGCGGTGGCCGCGGAAGCGGAGGCTGCGGGCCACGATGGTGACGTCGCAGAAACGCTCCTCGGCACGCAGGCGGGTCATGCTGCGAAGGGCTGCAGCCTCGTGGCCCGGCAGCTGGAAACGAAGGACCTCGGCGCACGAGGACATGGCTGGGGGTGAAGGGGG